TCGATAGTCAGATCGATTGTAAGATCGATCGAATGAGATCGATAGTGATATCTATAGTGATATCGATAGTGAGACCGAATGTGGGATCGATTGTGATATCGATTGTGATATCGATAGTGAGATCGATAGTGAGACCGAATGTGAGATTGATTGTGAGATCGATTGTGAGATCGATAGTGAAATCGATGGTGAGACCGAATGTGAGATTGATTGTGAGATCGATTGTGATGTCGATAGGGCGATCGATAGTGAGACCGAATGTGAGATCGATTGTGAGATCGATAGTGAGATCGATAGTGAGACCGAATGTGAGATCGATTGTGATATCGATAGTGAAATCGATAGTGAGACCGAATGGGAGATCGATAGTGAGATCGATAGTGAGACCGAATGTGAGATCGATTGTGAGATCGATTGTGATGTCGATAGTGCGATCGGTAGTGAGACCGAATGTGAGATCGATTGTGATATCGATAGTGAGATCGATAGTGAGACCGAATGTGAGATCGATTGTGATATCGATAGTGAAATCGATAGTGAGACCGAATGGGAGATCGATAGTGAGATCGATAGTGAGACCGAATGTGAGATCGATAGTGAGATCGATAGTGATATCGAGAGTGAGATCGATCGAGTGCGACGTTGGTCCCTCCCCCCCCCCTCACCTCCTTATCACCCGAAGGGTGGTCGTATAGGTAAATGTATGTCGGTATTTGCCGAGATCAAGACGCCCATCGTGCTTTCGTTGGGATGCCTGGAGGCTCCAGCAAGAGTCGCCCACCAGGCCTGTGCAGGAGCGCGTACCGGCCCAAACCTCGCAGCGGTCCCAGGTCTTGGCGACGAGAGCGCACCGGGAGGCCCATAGGAGAGCGAAGGGCTTGCTCCACCGAAACACCTCGACCTCGATCCTGGGCCCTCGACCCTGCCTTCTTCTTCTCCTCCCCTGCCGTCGATCCTCGGCCCTCGATCCTGGATCCTCCTCGTCCTCCTCCTTCTTGACCATCGATCCTGGGCCCTCGATCCTGGATCCTCCTACTCCCCCTGCTCGACCCTGAGGGGCAACGTTAGGGGGGACCAGCTCAGGGGGCAACGCACCGACCTGGCATCGGCCATAAACAGCCGATAGATCGGCTACTGGACCCATCTCGGGAGCGGCCAAGAGGGGGGTGTCCAAGAGGGGGGGGTGCAAAGCATGACCGGCGGCATGTGCGCGGCCCAGCGGGGGGGCCAGGGCCGTAATGAAATAAGAAGAGGCGCCATGAGATCTGGGGAAATATCATGCCCCCCGCCATGAGATCCACCCCCCCCCTAGTCATCACCCCCCTCTTTTCCGCCCCCGAGGCGGTCCATATGAGCGATCGGGGGCCGGTGCGTCCCCTCTGAGCCTATCCCCCGGTGGTTCTCGGGTCGCAGCTCGGGCCTCCAGCGGCCGCTGGGGAGGATCCGGGCACACCCGCAGCGCCCTCGGCGAGGCGCAGCAGCTGGAAGGCATCCCGAGGCTGGAGACCCAACGAGAGCCGATGAAAAAGTACGAGAATCTTATCTATAAGGAAAAGGAATGGAGGAGGAGGCGGAGGAGGAGGAGGCGGAGGAGAAAAAGGATGATGAGGAGGAGAGAGGAGAAGGCGGAGGAGGAGGAGGAAGAGGAGGAGGAGGATCGAACCGTGCCTCGCCCCGGTCGAGCATGGGATCGACTACAGAATTGCTTTACCCCAGATTTGATGTTTCCCCTCGAACCTGCGGCACACTCTCCTCCTCGACCCCTGTGGCCCTCGACCCTCGAGCTTGGACCCTCCTCTCAAGACGGGGAGCGCCGATTCCGCCCGGAAACGGGACCCGTCGCTGATCCACGCTGCCCCTGAGTCCACGTCTTTGAAGGAGCCCTGGGACACACAAATAAATACACACAAATAACAGATTTCCCTATATTTTCCCCTATCTTCTGGGTTCTTGTCTTCCCCCCCACCTCCCATATTTTCCCGTATTTCCTGGGGAGTCGACGATTAATTGTGTCCGTGTGTTTTTTCCCCTCCTGAGTCTTGGCCTCCTCGATCCTCGGGTACGGAAAACATGGGTACGATGCCCAACAACAAATGTTGTCCCAAACCAACAGCGGCCGCTGTTGGGCAGGCGGCCTTCTGTCTCAAATGGACACAGGCCGCGGCGGCGCGGACAGCGAATCCTGTTCAAAATGAACAGGAACTGCTGTTGAGCATTGTACCCATTCTTTCCGTGCCCATCTCGTCCGTGCAAATGCTCGTGCCCGAGGCGCTCTGGCACCCGCACCGGGGCCTCGCCGGCGCAGGCCCGCGCCGGGCGCATGCCCGCGGGGCGGGAGGGCGCGGTGCGCGGGGCGGGGCACGCGAGGGCGCGGGGCGGGGCGGGGGTCCGACTGGGAGCTGGCGGCGGAAGGCGCGCGCGCGGGGTGGCTGGGGTACGTAGGGGGGGGGGAAGGCTTCTTCCTGACAGGAGGCTGCCACTCAGAAGGCGCGGGCCTTTGCCTCTACGGAGGCGCGGCCTCTACGGATGAGGCCCGCCCCGGGCGCATCCCCGCGGGGCGCGGGCGCCGTGCACGCACGGGGCGGGAGGGCGCGGGGCCGGGCGGGGGTCCGACTGGGAGCTGGCAGCGGAGGGCGCAGAACAGACCACCACCCCTGTATTGTTACATCCGGAGTATGTTCCCGGCATAACGAAGAACCACGACCGCAATTACGTGGATTTCTGGGGAGGGCCCCTCGGAGGAGAAGCCACCGACCTCGACATGAGCACTGTGGTTGTGGTTGTGGTCGAGTTGGCCCTCCTCACACGGGGTAGCTGGGGTAGGGGGGGGGGGGGGAAGGCTTCCTCCTGACAGGAGGCTGCCACTCAGGAGGCGCGGGCCTTTGCCTCTACGGATGGGGCCCGCGCCTTCTCAGAAGCAGGGGTGCTGCCAAAGAAGCCTTACCCCCTCCCCCATACCCCCGCGCTGCGCGTGGCTCGAGGCGAGAGCGTGGGCGGGCGAGGTCCGACCAGGAGCTGGCAGGGTCCGACGCGCGGCGGGGTCCGACTGGGAGCTGGTGGGGGCCTCCGACATGAGGTTGTTAACCTTACTTAGGTCGGGCATGTCCCCCTGCAGGGGGAATTTGGACGAAAAATTACAGATAGTCAAGCAAGAATCGAAACCAATCAAAAAATAACAGAAACATCGTCCCGAGACTATTGTATGATTTGTTGTTGAAGAATCCTCCGGTTGAGGAGCACGCCCGACTTACTGGTAAACCCCCGTGTGTTGCCTCCACGTCGGCCTCTGGGACCCGTCGTCGGGTTCCAGGGCGCTCGGCTGCCCCGCCAGAGCACCCCAACAGCAGCAAGTGTGAAGATGCGGGTCGAGGAATAGGAGGTCGGCGACGGGGGGACTGCACTTTTCCTCCCCGGGATCGTGGCCTTCCAGACCAAGCATGTGCTCGGCGTTGGGGCGAGATCACGATTCAGAGATTCCTTCATTTGGAAGCTGGGCCAGGGCTGGCAAATCCGTGGCTGCTAAAACGGTCTTCCCGGCAGGAAAAAAACAATTCCGGGAATCAAGCTCAACGCACTGAACTTTGGGCGTGGCTTAATGGGGGGGTCACAAATGGGGGGGTCAGAAAAGGTCCCCTTTCGTGCCCCTTTCGGGCCCCTCCGGAGCCCCAGGGGGCTCGTTTAGGTACCGTTTGGGTACCTTTTCGGACCACCCGCGACATCCCCCCATTTATGACCCCCCCATTACGCAACGCCCAATGAACAGTAAACAAGCTGCTTCCGGGAAGAAGGCATACATTTCCTGGAGCTCAGTTTTAGCAGCCACGGGTTTGCCAGCCGTCGCCCGGCGTCTGATTCATGCATCGTGCAGAAGCGGCGGGGTGAGGATGACGAGAGAAGGACACTGCCCCACCAGATATCCGTACACCTGCGGCATATTCCCCGAATGACTCAGGCAGTCGCTCGTCGGATGCGGTGCGGTGCGTGGACAGCAGCAGCAGGGGGCGCAGGGATGCAGCAAGGCAAGCGAGAGGACAGAACGCAGTGCACCATAGATAGCGAAGGAAGAGGGATGGCAGCCCGAGGCACGGGAGGTGGACGAGGCGTGCCGACGTCGCCGCCAGGGTCTCGCTGTACTCCAGGGTCAACCATTGAAAAAGCTTGCCTTCCTCTGCGCGGGCCCTGGCCCCAGCCCAGCTACTAGTACCATGCCGCTCATATCACCCAAAATATCAGCGGCGCGCGCATGGAGATGGGCAGTCGCCTTCTGAAAGGGCAGGAGCACGGTCCAAACAAATGGTAAGGATGCGCGGTGAGGCCGCGAAGGCCGAGAGCCTGGAACGCCCATGCCGACACTTTTCGAACAGGGCGTGGCCAGCGGAGGTGGCCAAGGATGGGCCGACGGGGCAAGGATGCACGGGCAACCTTGGGAAATCGCCCATCCTGACTGTCACCGCTGACTGTCATGCTTGTCGGAAGCTCCCCATCCCCTCGAGAAGCCTTCTCCGAAACCTCGGATCCTCTCCTGACGTTCCCGCGAATGCCGCTCCCCTCGCCCCGCCACCTCTCGGCGCGCCGCCAAGTAGAGCGGCTGACTATGGGAACTGGCGCTGCCCATGTTGGCCGTGCGCAAAAGAGGGTCTGGGGGGAGGGGGACATCTTGTTAGACACGATTGGGTTCTTAAGCGGCGCCGGCCTTACAACATCTACGGACAAGGCCCGCACCTTCTAAGACGCAGCCTCCTGCTCAGAAATTATCCCCCTCCCCCACCCCCTCGGCGAGCTGCTGACCGAAGCATGCGCAACGACAACGTTCAATTCCCGCGATGCTGCGATGTCCCCCCAATGCTCCCGAATCGGATCTCGCCCCCGGGTCTCCAGCCCGCTCGGGCCTCAAAGCGCGCGGCTCCCAGGGCCATTCGATTCTGGTCCAGCCCGTAAACGCGCTGGTGTTTGAATCTCCCGGTTGCTCCACCCCGCCCGAAACGTGCGGTTTTAGATGTGTACAAGGCGCCGCGCAAGTTTCCCCAAAAAACTGCGGGAACTGCGCGGGTGGGGGGCGGGTCGTTGTCAAAATGTGGTCGTTGCCGGCCGCCAGGGACTTTGCAGCCACGTTTGGGCTGCGCGCCGATATCCTCGCTGCGTCGGCCTCTTCGTTGAGCGCACCGACGGAGCGGTACCGGGAATTCAAAAATCCGCTCCAAAACACCGCGCCACATTGCACGGCAAAGGGCTTCATCTCCCTCCCCGTGGCGGTTGAAACCCACGGCGGCGGGCGGGGCCGCGAAGCGTCCAGTGCCTTCGGGGTCCTAGCCAAGCGGGTGGCAGACGCTACGGGGGAAGCCGCCGCAACGGTTGCGGACCGACGCGCCCAGCGACGTCCCGTCTCCCTGCACAGGGGGGGCGCGCGGGCGGTGTTGCGGCGCCTCCAAACCTCGGCTGGAGAGAAGGGCGGGGGGGGCAACGGCCCGTCTGGCCGCGGCCGCGGCTGCCTCCACGGCGACAGCCGAGCGAGGCATCCCCGGCGCTGCCGAGCGCCCCCCGCCCACCTTCCCCCCCCTTGCTGGGCAGCACCGGCGCCCCCCGCGCCCTTCCGCCACCGTCGCGCTGCCTGCACTTCGCCCTGCCCCACGCACGCCGTCCGGTCCTTCCCCAGAGGGGCGGCGGGTGATCTCGCAGACAGGGCCCTCCCCACCAAACCGCAGCGTGCTGGGGGTTCGGTCGGCCACCCCGCGCCGCCTCCAAACGACCCCGACGGCCCTTCCCGACGACTCCGAGCGCCCCCCCCCCCGACACCGCCCACTCCACCGCTACGCCTACGCCGTCTGGTCGGCGCCGCCGCCGTAAAGTCCATAGCCTGGTCGCGGGTGGCCGGTCTCTCCCTGCCCCATGGCCTGGCCTGTCTGCTTGCGGTTGCTTCCCATTTCCTCCTTCAACCACGCGCCGCCTCAGGACGACCCCGACGGCCCTCCCCGACAACTCCAACCGCCCCCCTGGACGCCCTCCGCCCACTCCACCGCTGCGCCTGCGCGCGCCGTCTGGCCGGCGTCGCCGCCGCAAGGTCCATAGCCCTGTCGCGGGTAGCCGGTCTCTCCCTGCCCCATGGCCTGGCCTGTCTGCTTACGGTTGGTTCCCATTTCCTCCTTCCACCCCGCGCCGCCTCAGGACGACCCCGACGGCCCTTCCCGACGACTCCAAACCGCCCCCCCGACGCCCACCGCCCACTCCACCGCTACGCCTGCGCCGTCTGGCCGGCGTCGCCGCCGAAGGTCCATAGCCTTGTCGCGGGTGGCCGGTCTCTCCCTGACCCATGGCCTGGCCTGTCTGCTTGCGATTGGCCCTTTCCTCCTTTCCGTTCCTACTGCTCCTTGTTTGCTGTCTCCGCCCGGCCCCTCTTCCGCCTGCCCGACGGCCCCGGTGACCCTGGCCTTCCGCCTGCGCGTTCGTCGTCGCTCAGGACCAGCGTGGCGGCGTGTAGGGTTTCAGACCACTTTTGGCCCGAGGGACCCGCAATCGGTTCAACTGTTACACATGTCGATCCAGCAACTCCACGGATCGAGAGGCCGGGCGGGGGTTCAGAAATCCCCAACCGTTCAAGCGACAAAGCGATGAAAACAGGACATCGTGCAAGGACGACCAAATATCACGCATACGTATACACATGCACATAATGTGTATAGATGCATTGTATATCATGCAGAGCTTGCCTGGGCCGCTGACTGCGGCCTGTCGGCCTCGGCGGCGACGACGACGGCAAACCAGGAATATCCTCACAATCGTCCACTTCCCACTGGGGCGCTGCGGCCTCCCCCACGCCTTGCTTCCTGCAATCAGCCAGGTCGCCCGACTATGCGGCACTGCCTTCGCGCACCCGCGAGCTCCCTCTCGGCAGCGCAATTTTACGACCTGGGCCGCGAAGCGCGCATATCTTCGCGCACCTGGGGGCAGGACTCAATATGAACGGTGCTTTTCGTTTTCGTTTTGTTCTTCGTTCTCCCTCGTTTTGCCACTGCTTCGCCTTGCACGCAACAAAGCAAACAACCAAACGGCCCGCGAGATGACCAACACACCGCTCAGGTCCAGCCCTGCCTGGGGGTGGCATGAGTGGGAATCGGAATGTTCATCGTCAGACGGCGGGTTGGTGCCGTGGCGACTTGAGGGGTGGCTTCGCAGATCGTTCGATATCGGAGCGATTCTGGGCCACTGGCAACGCTGGCGTCGACGCCGCACACGAATCTGCAGTGCGGGCGTGACGAGCGTGAATTCCCCAACGATCGACGACGGTCGGAGGCGCGCTAACCCATATCAGCGCTGACTTGGGGGTCAGCCAAGTCCATGGCGCGAGCTCTGGCCCAACTCCCAACCCCAGGTCAGCGGAGAGAGGGGAAGGCATCGCCGCCACTTGTGGATGCCACGACAATGGACACCCTAACAGTCCGATCCTTGAATTAAAAATGTGCTTAAAATGTAACAAAATGCTCCGAACATGTTTCAAACATGTTC